AAAACTCTGTTCCTTGGAAAATGAAGTCTTGCCGGTTTGTGGAGAGTGTAAGCGTCTTGCTCCGACAAAAAATCTTCAACCTCGGCTACCTTAATATTTTTCCCTGTTTCATTCTGCAAAGCTCTCCTTAACCTATCTATTCCCCCAAAACTTCCAGGATTGGAAGGGTTATAGTAGACTTTTCTTATAGCTTCACGGTCAGACATCCTATTCCTTACACCAGCACTCAAAACGAGACTTACTCATAACGAGACTTTTTTCATTCTTTTCTCCTTTATTTACATCGGTTAAATTAGTAAAACAACAAAACACAAAAACACAAAACCCTGAAAAATTCTTCATAATGTAACTCTTTTCAAATGACATCTACAAAACTAGAAATGTAAAAAACAAAAAACGTTTATTATTTTTTTTAAATCTTTTTTCTTTCTTGTTTTTTCAATCACTTCCAAGTGATACAGAAGATAAACAAGCAACTAAATAGCACATCATTCATCAAGTGCGACCAAAGATGTTTGAAATAGCACAGAGTTGTTTGATTTTGTAAATTTCTCTGTTGTTCCGATACACTTCAACAGCAGCACACAGTCCGAACGAAGATCTGAGTTCGTACAAAAGAGTCCCCACAATTATCTTCACCCTGAAATCCTCCGCTTCTTGTCCGCGTTCTTTCATCAGATGTTGAATGGCTAGAATGAGTTGCGGTGTTTTAAATCGACGTTGAAGCGTGATAAAGTTAGTCTGATAGAATTCTTCTTTCAATGCTTCGAGACAACGATGCTGTAGTTGACTCGGGTGGTCTGTTTGACATCCGTAACAAGTGTCTCGATTATATTCCTAAGCGACATGGTGAAGCAAATGAAGCATGGCTGTTTTTACTATAGCAATGTGTGAGGAAAAGATCCAATCCTCATCCACCTCCCCGTTTATATTCGGTGGAGTCTGCGCCGGATGCACAATGAGGCTGGTTTGTTTGTCTTCGGACGAATCAGGTGAGGCTCCCGCCGCCCTGTTTTCATCAGACTCAGAAAGAGCGGGAAGCAATTTGTTTTCCTCCTTCAGGGTATTTACTTCATTAGTCTCGCTTGGAAAAGGCGCTGGTGATGGTGGATGATTAGCTTCGTCTGGAAAAAGCACCGGTGATGGAGGGTAGGGTGGTGAAGGTGGAAGATATGGAGTTGCTGTGGGGGAAACAGGAGAGTATAAATCCCAGTACGACCCCATTCTATCCGGTGTAGGTTCGCCCCTTCTTGAAGAGATGTGTGCCGGTATGCTTCCTAACGCTAAATATATAGGGTGGAGAGTAGAGGGTGTGTCTAAAAGAGTTTTTTTTTCACTGTCAGAATGTCAAGCCAGCAGCGCGAACTTCGGAACAGGTTGGAAATTCGATCCCCAATTTCGATGATTTTTTGGCGCCATACACTAAAAGGTAATGCCAGCATGGTCCTAAAGATCCCACTTTCTATGTTGAAAACTTCTAAAACAGGTCGGGGGAAAAAGCCTCATAGCTCCGTTGCCTGCTCGCTCGGAGAGACCAGGACCCGTTTGTGTTAGATTTTGTTTCCCAAACTGCGCTAAAAAGCATCTCTCCGTTGACGATTTCAACATCGGATGGAAAACCGATCAACTTGTGTGCTTTATGCTGTCCGCCCTGGAGGTGAGGTTCATACACCAGGTCAGTAACAGTTACCTGCAAAATAATCTTCATAAACAGGTGTAATTGCATTCAACAATAATAACCCAAAATTAAGAATAAGAAAACAGGAAAGTTGCAGATACACAACTTTTATTTAACTCTTTGTTTTATTTTTATTTTTTCCTTTTCGGNAGGGTATTTACTTCATTAGTCTCGCTTGGAAAAGGCGCTGGTGATGGTGGATGATTAGCTTCGTCTGGAAAAAGCACCGGTGATGGAGGGTAGGGTGGTGAAGGTGGAAGATATGGAGTTGCTGTGGGGGAAACAGGAGAGTATAAATCCCAGTACGACCCCATTCTATCCGGTGTAGGTTCGCCCCTTCTTGAAGAGATGTGTGCCGGTATGCTTCCTAACGCTAAATATATAGGGTGGAGAGTAGAGGGTGTGTCTAAAAGAGTTTTTTTTTCACTGTCAGAATGTCAAGCCAGCAGCGCGAACTTCGGAACAGGTTGGAAATTCGATCCCCAATTTCGATGATTTTTTGGCGCCATACACTAAAAGGTAATGCCAGCATGGTCCTAAAGATCCCACTTTCTATGTTGAAAACTTCTAAAACAGGTCGGGGGAAAAAGCCTCATAGCTCCGTTGCCTGCTCGCTCGGAGAGACCAGGACCCGTTTGTGTTAGATTTTGTTTCCCAAACTGCGCTAAAAAGCATCTCTCCGTTGACGATTTCAACATCGGATGGAAAACCGATCAACTTGTGTGCTTTATGCTGTCCGCCCTGGAGGTGAGGTTCATACACCAGGTCAGTAACAGTTACCTGCAAAATAATCTTCATAAACAGGTGTAATTGCATTCAACAATAATAACCCAAAATTAAGAATAAGAACACAGGAAAATGGCAGATACACAACTTTTATTTAACTCTTTGTTTTATTTTTATTTTTTCCTTTTCGGAGGCTCCTCTGTTGCTCTCCCTGGAGTGTCTGCAAAGACAACAACATACTGGTTACTGTTAGAACTTCAGGCTGTGAGCACTGCTGATGTGATCCTATTGTTATGAATATATCTTACATATACAGGAACATTGTGACAGCCGTGGCAGACCTCTAGCCTCCAGGAGGCTTGAGCACAGGCTGTAAAAAAAAAAAAAAAAGAAAAAAAATTATTAAAATTATTATTTGCCCCATAGACCCACCACTGGCCTTTTTTCTTTCAAAGCATACTTTCATGTGTAATCTGTTTGCAATTGTGCTCCCATGTGAACTTACTTCATCATCATCATCGTCGTCGTCATCGTCAACTTGGACGTCAGAGTTGAAGATAGCCTGGATGTGGAGAAAAGAGAAGAGGTTATTGTACGTCTTATTTGATGTCATGGATTTTATGCAGCATAACAATGGACCAAAGTGGGGAAATTTGGGTGTGGTTGTCCAGAATTGTTTTGAGAAGAAAAAGAAATCCTTTTCACTTAGATTGACAGGTCTATTTTTTTCTTATGTCGTGTAATAACTGTAGGAGACAATGCTAAAATTCTTTGTTCCATGTGAACTTACATCCTCTTCAGCTTTGGGGCTTAAGAATGCATCACTCTTCATCACCCAATCCCTGATCTCCAGGGAATCGTTCAGCCTCTTCAGCATTTGGTAGTTCCTCCGTCCTTTCACCGTCAGAACAAACATCTGCTGTATATGCTTTTGGGGCTGTGACATCGTTTCCCCTGCTCCCTGTTGGTGGAAGTAGGAAAGTGGGTTACAATAAAATATATACATAAATTAATTTTAAAAAAGGAGCAGCAGCAGGAAGAGGAGGATTGCTGTGCTGTGACAGCAGCAGAATAATGCCCACAAATTATTTTTCTGTGTGCCGTCCAAATAATTTAAGAGAAAACATTAATCTATTTTCTAATAAAAGCTTTGATAAAATTCTTAACTTTAACGGGGGGGCCACAGAGCAGTTTAATCTGAAAAACTCACACAGAAAGAAAAGGTAATTAGAAGAATTTTATTGATATGAAAGTATAGTCTTTGGTGCTCAGACCTCGGCAGGAACATTAATGCTGAATTATGCTTTAACATGCATAAGTAGATGAATGAGAATAGGGATGTTCCCCCCGGGCCTGAAACTGGTGGTGGTTTTCACTCAGAGACTGAGGATATAGACGTTCTGCTTGGTGATGCAGGTACCATGAACTGTCCATGATGAGCAAGCATGAAGCGACAGTGGAGAGGAAAAACTCCCCTTTGGGAAGAAACCTCTGGCAGAACCGGGCTCAACATGGTGGTCTTCTGCCGGACCAATTGCAATGAGACGAGGGATGGTGACGACTGAGATTAATACTCTCTGATGA